GGGAGACGGGTCTGGGGGTGTCGTCCTGGGGTGGGGGGATGGGTCCAGGGGTGTCGTCCTGGGGCTGGGGGGATGGGTCCAGGGACATCGTCCCGGGGCCAGGGGATATGGGTCTGGGGGAGACGGGTCCGGCGGTGTCATCCCAGGGCCGGGGGGACGGGTCCAGGGATGTCGTCCTGGGGCGGGGAAACAAGGCCCAAGCGACACGCTCTTTCCTAACCGGTGCCTGGAGGAGCCCAGCCGGGCCAGGAAGGCAGCAGAGTGGGGCGATTCTGTCCCTGCACCCCACTCAGCCCAGCTCCTGGGAGCTACAACGGCTACTCTGCGGTCTCGGGGTTTCCTTCCAGGGCCTCTGAAGTGCGGCAAATGGTGTCCCCCAGATTCACATCCACCCCAACCTGAGAACGTGAGCTTACTTGGAAAAAGGGCTGCTGCAGATGGAATCAGTTAAGATCTCGGGATGAGGCCATGCTGGCTTATCTGGGGGGCCCGAATCCGGGACTGTGTCCTGAGAAGGGACAGACGAGCAGCTCAGGACCAGGGAGGCAGAGGTGGGGGCCACACAGTCCCTCAGGGTGCCCGGCAGGAGCCGCCGCGCGGGCCGCACGAGGACCTCAAAGCCCAGAACTGAGAGGAGGGGCTCCCGTGATCTGGGACGGCTGCCCGGGACGCCTGCCCCTGCAAACACCTGCCGGCCCCACACGCTGTTTATGAGGAAAGATGGTGTCGGCCGTCCTCCTGGCAAGTCCTGTGAAGGCCCAGAAGGCCCTGGAGACCTGGTTTCCTGGACGATGGGCTGAACTGTTGGTTCCCGGGGGCTTGCATCCTTCGCACCTTCTTTGGGCAGCAGTGCCCGATGTCCTGTGGGGGTGGCCTGTCCCCACTGGTTCTGTCTGCTCCCGCTGGGGGCCCCGCTGCGCCACGTCCACTGAAAGCCTGGGCCAGAGCTTGAATCCTGACGGTTGGAAAAGCCCGAGAAGGGCTGCTGCTCGTGGGCTCCGTGGGCCCGCCAGCCCCCGTCTGTCCCAGGGAGCTGCCACGTGCGGCCTGCAGGGCTGGGCGGCCGGGGCTGGTGTCTGGTGCTCGGGGCCCCTTGCGGGAGGACCTGCCCCACCTTGACCCCACAGGGCTGAGGATGCCGCAGGCGGGCACGGGTAGGAAGGAAGGCAGTCTGAAGACACCGTGGACTTCAGTTCCTCATACACGCCAACTCTGGCCCGCAAATCGTGCCGCGCGGGCCACGCTGGGGCCAGGCCCTGACGGCAGAGCACTTGGGTACCGTGGTCCTCGTTTGTATGTGGGTCTACAGCTGTTCCACAACGTTTACTGAGAAGACAACAAAGGGGATGTTCGTGTACAGACACGGAATAGCCCCAAGTCACACGGTAACCGCCGACTGAGGAAGCTGGTGGGCGACGGGCCACCTCGTGCGTGGGGACGGCTGTGGGGGGCAGCCGAGAGCCCGTCGCCCGTGTGTGTGGAAAGGGTGCGGGACGGTGCACGAGTGAACCGACCGCTCATGCAGACACCCCAACGTTGCTGGAGCTGCCCGGGGCCGCCGCCCGCCCGCGAGCTCGGTGCAGGGCACCCTCCGCAGCTCCGTCTGGTTCTGGGAGTCGGGCCACAAGTGTGACGGCCGGACACAGGTCGTGGGGAGAATGTGCCACCCGGGCACGATCGCCGACCGCAAACAGGTGGGAAGAAGTTTTGGAGAACAATTTTATTGGCCCATTTTAAGAGCCTGAAAAATAATCCAGTAAAAACACTGCAAATTCATTAGGAGAGAACCTTTTTAAGGGGGAGAACTCGACCCAACGCTGACGGCAGCGTCTTCCGAGGACGGTGTGTGGCCGGGGGCCCAGACCGGGAGGGCACAGGGGGTGTGGTTACCCCCGGGGCCTCTCCTGTCGCCGCAGCCTGGGCGGCTCCAGCGCAGAAACGCGCACCGCACGGCCTGCGCCAAGCCCATGTCCCCGTATTCCCGCTGCAGCAAGTGCGGGTGTGGGAGCTCAGCAGGGGCGGGGCAGGTGCCCCGCGTGCGTCCTGCTCCGTCTGCGCGTCCAGAGGAGGCGTGGTGCGCGGCCCGGACGCAGAGTCCCCCGCGCGTCCCCACGGCACGTGCCTGCCTGGGTGGGCTCTCCGGGGCGCGCCTGCTCGCGTCTGTGCAAAGCTGTGGTACCCCGGGCGTGAGGCGGCCCTGCCGCGCTCCCAGACGCCGCGTCCCACGGGGTCCGACGCAGGCACTGCCGGGGACACGCGCCCCACGCTGAGCGCCACGGCTGTCCTGCTGCATTGGCCCTGGCGACTCCCCCCCCGCCACACTCGTCTCTGCCTCCTTTAGGGGGAAACGACACCGCCGAACGTGAACAAGCAACGAGGGACAAAGCAGGTTTGCCGGCGGCTCGCACGGGCCTGCCCAGGGCAAGCTATCTACAAAAGCAACGTCTGCACATAAAAACCTGCAACCAAAGACAAGGGACAAATTGGAAGAAAATTATTTAAAAATAAATCGTGTGGAAAGGGCTCACCGGAACATTCAGAGCGCCGGGACCCAGTAAGACGCTCGAGAGTAACGGCCGGCCAAGGGACAGAGTCTGCTCGGCAGAAGAAGATACACACGGACGCTTCCATCTAAGAGAAGCTGCTCGTCTCACCCCTAATTAAGAGATGACGCAGCAGAGCCAAGTGTCTGAGGTCACACCGCCCTGGGGCGGGCGCGCAAGGGCGCCGCCGGGGTTGGGGAGGAGCCTTCCGGACAGCAGGTGCGCCCATCAAACTCAAAGCTGCGACCTGTCCCTGCACAGCCGGGGACGCGCTCTGCAGGGAAAGCTGCCGTCAGGCCGCAGGCTGAATCCAGGTGCATTCCGACGGGGGCACCGATATGACCGATGAGAGGAGACGGGCCCGCGAGCCACCGCGGTGCGTCCGGAAGGCACGGAAGACGAAGCAGGGAGCGCCGCGTGAGGCTGACCAGTGTGCGGTGGGCGGGGACGCCTTCCTCTGCTCTGCACCCCTGCCCCACCCGCTGGGGGCCCCCCAACGACCCGCCGCCCGCCCCTCCCTGCCACCCGGGGCAGAAGGAGCTCCGGGGAAGCGGGCGGACTGGGCCACAGGGACTGGGCCGCGGGCACGGCGGGGAGTGTGCGTGAGCGGTGCCGTGCGGGAGCACCAATCCGAACCTCGGACGTCACCGGGCGGCAAGTCCGTACGTATGGTGGTCGGACTAAGACCCAGACCAGGAACAGCCTCTCCCGTGCGACGCAGCTTGCCGGCGCCCACAGTGGCCCGGGAGTCCCAGGACAGACGACAAATGGTGAAAACACACAAGCCAAACAAGGAAAAAACCGCCCCACAGTCGCTAGCTAGAAAAGGTGTTTTCCTCCCATTTTATTTGATAATACATTTTCACAGAAACATGATATTATTTACAAATATACAGGTAAGAGACTGCTGGTCAAAAATCTTAAACTGAAAATGTCATCAAAAATTAATTTACAAAAACCACCAACTGCCCAGGGGCGTCCCTGGGGGAGAATGTGGACGGCGTTGGATGGGTCTGTGCACGCGGGACCTGCTTGGCTCTCCGGCCCCACAGCCGGGCGCTGGGCCAGCACGACGCCCGCGTCTCAGGAGGCACTGGTCTGCATGTTCTTGGAAGCGGCGAGCATCGCCCTCACTTTGGCCATGAGATCCTGCATGGAGAGACGCACGGGGTCCCTATGGCTTCCTGCTCAGACCCAGCACGCGGACCGCGGGTACGGGAGTGCCCCATGAACGTGTCGGCGGGAAGGCCCGCCGTGGGGACCCCGCAGCCCTCCAGGGTCAGGGCCCACCGGCGGGGCCGAGATGGGGACCCCGAGGGAAAGCCGGCCCCCTGGAGGCGGGGGGAGGGGGCGCTTTACCTGAGTTATTTTGCTCTGCACGGAGGAGACAATTGCTGAGGAGATCTGGCCGTCTTTTTCCTGAGAAACTCCCCTGAGTGAACAGAGAGAGGTCACAGGCTTAAAAATACTGAGACGCATTGTCGAATTTGTTCCTAGTGTCTTTAAAAAAGAGATCATTATAAATATACACTTTGCTTTCACATTTCACGTTACAGAATCTGAAATATTTTATAAGGTGCAGCCTGACTCAGAGAGTGTTTTCCCGTGAACACCCTGGGAGCCACACGTAGTGAAGACGAGGACGGGACAGAAGCTGCAGAAGGCTGGCGCCGCACGGAGCCGCCACCCCGCGGAGGGCCGCGTGCCGGACTCTGGCCTCCGAGGCCGCCACACGCACTACCTACCTGTGCCCTCAAAGAAGCCATGGCTTAGGTTCTGACCCCCCTCTGGGAGCTGTGCGCCTGCTGCTTACGAACCCGAACCCCTGACCCACACTGATGAAGGCAGCGGGTCCGTAACCGACAGCGAGGCAGCCTCGCTCCGAACCCCCGCCCAGGTCTGGGCGGGTGAGCAGCAGGGGAACCTGGCAAATGCTTCCTGACAGCCCCGGGCAACGGGGACGCGTACATCGCTGGCACCGGCCAGGCTGCTCACGTGACAGTCAGCTGTGGACTTGGATGTCACCTGGCCTGCTCCGTCAGGCGGTGCTGGTTCGACCCCTGCGTCCTGTGGCCTGGCTGAGCGGTGACTGACCCCCTTGCCTGCCTTCCCCGCGATCACGCCGGGCCCTGCAGCTGGGGCCATGCCGCCCAGACGCCCTCACCGAGGACAAAGGCACCATGTCAGTGGTTTCAGGACGGCTGCCGTCAACGAAGGCACCATTTCCCAGTGGGTCAGACAGTGGGGAGTCCTCTGGTCAGCATCCGGGGAGGGGGCCAGCCCACTCCAGGGACCAACACCGAGAGGACCGGCTGTTCGGGGAGTCCCGCTGCCTGGAGCCGGGGCCTGGGGCCAGAGCCCAGTTCTGCCCAGTGGCACACGGGGAGCACGTGGGGGCGGGCACGCCCAGGCCAGGCTCAGGGGGCGCGTACCTGGAGCGCTCCTGGCTGGAGCCCCGACTCTCCACGGGAGAGATGCTGGCCGAGTGGGCCGTGTGCCGGCGTGTGGCCTGCTTGCTCGGGGATGCCGACTGGGACCCGGCCTTGGACTCGGTCCGTGACCGTGAGCGCCTCTTCTTCTTCTTCTCGTGGGGGCTTCTGCAAGGAAAGTGGTTTCAGACAAAGATACGGCAGGCTCTGGAAGGAGGAGTTTCGAGTGTTTTCCAAGGGACAGCTGGTGGGTTCGGCCGCCCGTTGTGCTAACTCCTTCTAAAAGCCATGCACGGTTTATTTAGCTCACAACTGACAGACGCGGCAAAGTCACACGAGTGAAGGCAGGCCACCCCCCCGTAGGAGGCCTGTCCCCCGTCTCAGGAGGCCTATGGGGTTTGAAACACGGTCAGCACTTTACCTGCATTTAAAAAACCTAAGGAGAGTAACCAAGTGCTGTCCACTCCGTGTCCACAGACGTGACGAGGACTCTAAGCAAGAGATGGGGAGCATCAGCCGAGGGCCGCGCACACAACAGCTCCAGGCCCCTGACCTACACTTCCTGGGACTGCAGAGCCCGTCCCGCTCGCCCAGCGGCTGACTGCCCACACTCCCTTCCAGACCCCAGCCCGCCCCCCACGCCCCAGCACGCGAAGCTCCAGCGCATGCCCTGCCCTGTGACCCTCCTGTGACCCCCCAAAGAACATTTAAGAAAAAAAGAGAACATATACAGGAGATAAGAGTGACGTGTGGTCCAGACTGGCGCCGGGCCTCCCTGCTCGTGGCCCCTCTGCTTCCTCCAAACATGACGGTCCCCTGCTTTTTGGAAACTGTGCCCCATCACACATGACGGATGGGTGACTGATGGGCGACCGAGTACTTGCTGTAGGGTCTGTGTGTGGTCAGTGCCGTCCTGAGACCGTCACAGGTGCCCATGTGGGTCCTGTGGGTGACGGGGCCTCACAACGGCGGGAGCCTGCATGTCTTCACGGAGTTAGACGTCCAGGGCCAGCCCCGCACAGCCCCCTCCGCTCGGCGCCTCCGAGACAGACCCTTCCGCACCTGGGGACACCCACGGCCTGTCCATACGCCTGCTCGCCCTGCCCTCGGGGCTCCCCACGGTGCTCTTGCACAAAGGCACATGTGCGCCCCGATGAAGCCACGGGACACTCCAGCGGGGCACGGCTTGCAGCACCCCGACTCCGCCGTGTTCACAAAGGCCGGCCCGCGGGGCGCAGCCCGGCAGCTTCCGCTTGGCCGGCACGGAGAAGAAGAGGTCCATAAACGCAGACGCTGCTCCCAGTGCTGGACACACAGACGTGGAAACCGCGCCACACCTCTGGTTTCTAAACTGCAGGAGCTGGGTGCAGTCTTAGGTCTGTAAACACATGCTAATTCCAGAAGCAGCAGCAAAGATACACAACTATTCCGCAGCACGGGACAGCCGTGCAAGTCCGGCCAGTCTGTGGCTGCCCCCGTGAACGCAGGAGCCCTCCCGGCTACGCGTCAGGTTCCGTCTGAATACAGCCACGTCACACGACAAGCCTGCCTCGGCGTTCGCTTCAGGAATTAAGGGATTCGTTCCTCTAAAAACAAGCGAGGTGCACCTCACATCCAGAGAAACAGGACGGTTTTAAGTGCTGTCGGACGCATGATGACAAGTGTTGACACCGTGACACCCCCACTCCTCTCATCAGGAACACCACCTTTCTAGAAAGTTCCGTCCCTGCTGCCTCCGGTCATGCGGACCCCCTTCCCCACGGTCACAGGTAACCACGGCTCTGATTTCTGCCCCATCGATGAAAGCTTCACGGAGGCAGAATCACACAGTGCCACGCTCCCATCACTCGTCCACGCCGAGCCGTGTCCCCAGTTGGCTTTCTGCTGCCGAAGCATTCGCGTGTGCAACCTGCCAGCACGTCTGTGCTCTCTCCCGGGAACAGGCGTGTGCGTTGTCCATTGCGACAACAGATCAGGTGCTTCTGTGGACAAATGTTCCCGGTGGGTGAACGGAGACGGACCGTGGGGTGGCGGCGCTGGTGCTCGGCGTCACAGGAAGCTGCCCCGCTGTTCCCAGTCCCCTGCAGCCCCCATCGCCAGCCCCACTGCGGCCAACCTGTGCTGAACCCGGCAGGGGCTAGTGCGCTCGGCTGCTCTTCGGGGCCGTATCCGCGGGCTACGTCTGTGGACCGCTTCGTGAACTTTCGAGTCACCCACTCGCTCCGCAGCCGTGTGGTTTCTGTCTGGAATCGACATAGGCCCTTGTCAGAGACACGGCGAGGGTTCCCGGCGTGCGGTCCGACTGTTCACGCTCTTCGCCGTGACTGAGTGAAGGTCAGCAAGCTCACGCTCACCACTCTCCTCCCTCCTGGTGGGGTTTCCACATCCGTGGGACCTTCAGCCGCAGTCTGTGACCCTCCGAGTTAAGCTGTGGCCTGTGGAACAGGCCACTTTCTTCCGCTTGGACAGCCAGCTGCTGGAGCGGGTTTCGCTGCAAAGCTCTCCTCCCCGAGCTTCTTGGCAACCCTGCCATTTTAGGGCGTCCGCTCACGGTCTTACCCGGCGGTTCCCTGTGAGTCTGGAATTGGCAGGAAGCGGCCTCCAACCCTATTCTTCTGCGAGACCGTTGTGGCTACTCCAGGTCCTCCATGTTTCCACATAGACGAGAGTTCCCGATCGCCCATTTCTACAAAACACCTGTGGAGTCCTGCTGGGGCGGTGCTGCATGGACAGGTCACTTCAGGGAGAAGGAACCTGAGGGACACTGCTCCCCCATCCACAAACACGGGCTCTATGTGTTCTTACGGTTCTTAGAACTCTTCTCGGAAATGTTTGTGGCTTTCAGTGTAGAGAAGTCGTTTCCCCGTAAGTAGCTTGTTACTTGGATATGGTCGCACGTCACCTTCCCAACTGTTCCAGGCTGGAATGCAGAAGGAAACGCTTCCTTTCCAGTCTTTATGCCTCTCCCCTGTTCTCGCCCTGCTGTCTGGGCCACCCGGCTGCTGGTCCTGGGGGCGGCGAGTGTGCCCCCATCACCGCCAGACGCTTCCTTCCATTCCCTTAGCTCAGGGCTCCGTGTCTCCCTGTTTTCTTTTTAGTGAACGGTTGACGAGCGTGGCCAACAGCTCTTCTGCATCTGCTGGGATGTCCTAGGACTTCCCTCGTTTACTCTGTGAAAACAGTGAATTACAAGGGTCGCTGGTGGACGTTAACGAACCTCGCAGTCCTGACACAGAGCCGCTTGTCGGGACGCGTCTCCTCACACTACCCTGCTGGGTGCAGATCGCAGGGCGCGCTCTAGCGTCTTTGCAGCTGTGTTCTTCAGCGTTTCGGTTTGTGAACACCACACGCGCCCCGTGCCCGTGCGCACACCCCTCCCGACGTGGCCGTGCCCGCCAGCCCACGTGCTCTTCGGGAGCCACTGCCACGGAGCCCAAACTGGTCTCTCTTCTCCCCTGAATGTTTGTTAGAACTTAATGATGGAAGCCATCTGGGCCTGGAGTTCGGTGGTTTTAAATGATACAGAAATGCTTTGGCAGACGCGGTTATTTAGATTTTCTATTTCTTCTGCTGACCGTGTGGTCACTTGTATCTTTCAGGAATTTGTCCATTTCACCCAAGTTGTCAACCTAATTAGAAAAAGATTTTATTCTCCTTTTAACATCTGTAGGCTCTTTCATTCTTTTTTTTTTTTTATTATTTAAGATTTTATTTATTTGACAGAGAGAGACACAGCGAGAGAGGGAACACAAGCAGGGGGAGTGGGAGAGGGAGAAGCAGGCTTCCCGCGGAGCAGGGAGCCCAATGCGGGGCTCCATCCCAGGACCCTGGGATCATGACCTGAGCCGAAGCAGACGCTTAACGACTGAGCCACCCAGGCGCCCCTCATTCTTGATCAATCTAAATGAAGACATCGATTTTTGATCATTTTCAAAAAACCATCTTTTAGTTTATTGTTAGTCTATTTTCCTCCCCCCCTTTTTAAAAAAAACCGAAGTACAGACAACACTCAGTGTCATACTAGTTTCTGGCCACCAGGGTGACTGCACGAGTGAGATGCTGCCGTCTGTCACCCACACCTCTGACTGGACTCCCTACGCTGGGCCTTTCATCTCCAGGACGCCTTCAGTCCATCATCTCCTGGGCCCTGGCGGCAGCCACCAGTTTGTTCTCTGTATTTGTGGGTCTGTTTTGTTTCTACAAGTCCACATATGAGTAAAATCCTATAGTATTTGTCTTTTTCTGACTAACTTATTTCACTTAGCACAATACCCTTTAGTTCCAACCATATCGTTGCAAATGGCAAGATTTCACTCCTTTTTGATGGCTGCGTAGTATTCTGTTGTATATATAACACATCTTCTTTATCCTTTTATCAATCGATGGACGGGGCTGTTTCCAGTTTGGCTGTTGTAAATAGTGCTGAATAAATATGGGGGTGCATGTGTCTTTTCCAAACAGTATTTTTTCTTTGGGTAAATACCCAGTAGTGAGATGACCTGATTGTAGGTTTGTTCTATATTTAACATTTTGAGGAACCTCCATACTGTTTTCCAGAGTGGCTGCACCAGCTTGCATTCCCACGAATAGTGTAGGAGGGTTCCCCTTTCTCCACATCCCCGCCAACATCTGTCATTTTCTGACTTGTTCATTTTTGCCATTCTGACTGGTGTGAGGAGGTATCTCATTGAGGTTTTGATTTGGCTTGAACTCATGACCCTCAGAGGAAGACCTGAGCTGAGATCAAGAGTCAGATGCTTAACCGACTGAGCCACCCTGGCATACCTTATGCCCATTTTTATTTTATTTTACTTATTTATTTATTTTTAAAGATTTTATTTATTTATTTGAGAGAGAGAGAATGAGAGACAGAGAGCACGAGAGGGAAGAGGGCAGAGGGAGAAGCACACCCCCTGCTGAGCAGGGAGCCCGATGCGGGACTCGATCCCAGGACTCCAGGATCATGACCTGAGCCGAAGGCAGTCGCTCAACCAACTGAGCCACCCAGGCACCCTCTTTTTTTGTTTTTTTTTTTTTAAAGATTTTATTTATTTATTTGAGACAGAGAGAATGAGAGAGAGAGAGCACATGAGAGGGGGGAGGGGCAGAGGGAGAAGCAGACTCCCCGCCGAGCACGGAGCCTGACGCGGGATTCGATCCCGGGACTCCAGGATCATGACCTGAGCCGAAGGCAGTCGCTTAACCAACTGAGCCACCCAGGCGCCCTCTTATGCCCATTTTTAAATTGGATTATTTGTTCTTTGGGTGTTCAGTTGGTTAAGTTCTTTATAGATTTTGGATACTAGCCCTTTACCTGATAGGACATTTGCAAATATCTTCTCCCATTCTGTCAATTGCCTTTTAGTTTTGTAGACTCCTTTGCTGTGCAAAAGCTTTTTATCTTGATGAAGTCCCAGTAGTTCCTTTTTGCCTTTGTTGTTTCCCTTGTCTTTGGAGACACGTCCAGCCAGAAGTTGCTGTGGCCGAGGTCTCAGAGGTTGCTGCCTGTGTTCTCCTCTAGGATTTGGATGGATTCCTGTCTCACACTGAGGTCTTTCACCCATTTGGAGTCTATTTTTGTGTGTGGTGTAAGGAAATGGTCCAGTTTCATTCTTCTGCATGTGGCTATCCAATTTTCCCAATACCATTTGTTGAGGAGACTGTCTTTTTTCCGTTGGACATTCTTTCCTGCTTTGTCAAAGATTAGTTGACCCTAAAGTTGAGGGTCCATTTCTGGGCTCTCTGTTCTGTTCCACTGATCTATGTGTCTGTTTTTGTGCCAGTACCAGACTGTCTTGATGATGGCAGCTTTGTAATAGAGCTTGAAGTCCGGAATTGTGATGCCGCCAGCTTTGGTTTTTTTTTTTCTGGACTGTTACGACTAATTGGGATCTTTTGTTCCATACAAATTTTAAGATTATTGTGTTTTCTATTTTCTTGATTTCTGATCTTACCTTTATTATTTCCTTGCTTCTACCTACTTTGGGTTTAATTCGTTCTTTTTCTAAAGACAGAAGATTAGATCATTATTTTTAGATCTTTCTTCTTCACTGATACAAACATTTAAAGCTACTAACTTCCTTCTAGGCAAACTAGCACACAGATTTCGCTGTTACATTTTCACTGTCATTCATCTAAAAATATTTTCTACTTTCCCTTGTGATTTTGTCTTTGACCTATGAGTAATTTAAAAATGTATTAACTTCCCAATATGTGGAGATTTTCCAGATATCTTTTTACAGATTTTTAGACTTGCTGCCACGTGGCAAGGGAACATACTCTGCACCATCTAGTCTTCTGGGACTTCTGGAGCCTTCCACAACAGCACAGTGATCGAACTAGCGCGGTGGCTGTGTAGTTTCTATTTCCGTGTGGTCTGGTTGTGTGCCTGTCCCAAGTATTTTATTTATTTATTTCTTCTTCTTACTATTTTATTTATTTGTCAGAGACAGCACAAGCAGGGGTAGCAGGAGAGGGAGAGGGAGAAGCAGGGCCCTTGCCGAGCAGGGAGCCTGATGTGGGGCTCGATCCCAGAACCTCGGGATCATGACCTGAGCCGAAGGCAAACACTTAACCGACTGAGCCACCCAGGTGCCCCTCTGCTTTCTTTTCAATTAATAAAGCATTTTTAAGGTTCTGCCTTATGTCCTCTCTTGGCTCTTAGCTCCTTTTTCTTTTTAGTGGCTGCCCCAGGGAATGAAGACATTCGTACTTCACTGACGAAGTCCACTGTGAACGGGTAACACTTAGCCTGTAAGAGTTTGTAACGGCGGCACGTTCCCATCCATTCACTCGGCACTCACGGATGTGCCTGGCACAGCGCTAAGCAAAAGGAGTTCGACGGCAAACCACCCCAACGAATCACGTCCTACTTACTGTAACAAAAGACTGGGGCATCCTGCTGAGGTGCGCTGTGGTACGATGTGGCCAAACATTCGCAGAGATTCTGCTCTTTAGAAAAATGTTCAACGTAACCGTATCTTGATCTCCAAAAGCTCAGTAAAAGGAACCAAGGTTCCTTGGACAAATAGCTGACCCCAGCGCTGGGACAGGGAGAGCAAAGCCTGGAATATTTGGGGCCAAAAAGCAACAAAGTGCTTCAAGAACAACAGGGCCAAGTGTGGGACGGATGTCACCATCAGAATAATACCGGCGATGGATTCATATACCAGAACAAAGGGGACAGGTCTTCTTTAGAGAAGAAAAAACAGAATTTGGAAGCCGCCATTCTGCCATCACCGATGTGAGAACCAATTCAGCATCAGTGGATGCTAGGCCAATGGACGTACGCACTGCGTCATGGCGCCACCGCCCGATGACCCGTGTGGGGCGCGCGTCACTGACGATGGGACACATCACCTGTGTAGTGCTCCTGCCAGAATGTTTCACACGAACCCAGCCAGCCACGTGCATGCGGTAAGACAAGTGCAAGCCATGGAACCCACAGGCAAGGGCAGGGCAGAGGGAGGGAGGGGAAGGACAGACAGCAAGATGGAAATGTGGTGACCCTGCTGAATCGAGCCGGCACTTACAGGCATATGCATGCTCCCTGTACTGTTTTCAGAAGTAGGTGTAAAACTGTCTAGTAAACTAAAACAATTTCAAAAGAAGTCCGTGAAAGGGGCACTCAGCCTGTAGAAACGAGCCTTCAACTCTGGTGGGAGAACTGGCCGCCTGCCGCTATGTGAACACAGCAGCCTCACCCCTGCTCTGCGTGGAGGGCTACAGGGGACGCGGTGTGACTGCTGGGTTTGCACGCTTGCACCAGCGACTACACACGGGCCCTCTCCTGGCGCCCTGGACCGAGCACCGCCTCCCAATGCCCAGGGTCAGGCGCATGGGGCGGTCCCACCCGCTCAGGCAGGAGTGCGGTCGGCTGAGCTTTCACTTGCTTCGTTCGACTCATTAAAGCTCCAGCGATCACACAAGTTCTCACGATTCCTAATATAACCACCACCTTCTCCGGAGACGGTTCCTTTCATGCAAAGGTTAATCTGAGGGCAGAGCAAGAAAGCTTCTGTGGGGAGAGATCTTTTGTTACAAGAATTAATTTTAGACCATGCCCTTTACATACAGTGGAGGTGACGATGAATTTCAAATGTTAAATAATGACTTGCTCAAGAAATACAACGTGACGTGGACTCAGATCTCCATCACGCTGGCCCGGCCCAGCGGGGGGCGCCTCATGCGGGCCCAGGGCCCAGGCCTCGAGCACGTGGTCAGCCTGCCCAGCGAGCACATCTGTTGGCTCTGCCGGCTTTATAGCTCCTTTGTGGACTCTGCTGCTTTCCGGGAAGGATCACATTTTACCAGTGATCTCGCCAGATTGCAGGCACATTTCCCCGTTAGCAACGTCTTTCCAGAGCTGCTGCCACTACGAGCCCCACCGGGAGGGGCACCTGAGGCAGCTCGCCCCACATCTTCTGCAGACAGGCAGGACCCGGGGACGGCTGGGCTCCTGACACCTGTTGTTCAGGTGTGTCATCTCGGAGGCTCGGGAAGCCCGAGCATCCCAACTCACACACGCTCAGCAGCAGTTACGAAACCCAAACAAAGACACGTATAACCGCACCCGCCTCCTCCGGGCACGTCTGTCTCCGGGAGAACGACGCTCCTCGCCCGCCTACCAGAGCCAGGAGCTCGGGCTAACTCCCATGCAAGGACACAAAAAACGAGAGCCCCTCCCTTTTGGGGAGAATGGAAACAAAGAAGCTAAGTGATGTGAAGCCATCAGGTGGCACCACCCATGCAGGACAGGACGATTCCCAGATAGTGCCCTGTGGCCAAGATGGAAACACCGGCCAGCGGCCCCGTCCACCACCACACTCCCGGCGGGCGTGCCAGCAGGCCCCAGATGGCCCAGACGTGCCCCGTCACGGGGGCGGGGTGCCAGGATTTTTAGTGTGGTGCCTTGGTGCTCTCTCCCTGGAGGAGCTGAGGACGCTGGCTGGCTGGGAAGGAGGCCTGGGGGCCGGCTGTCGGGGCTGAGAGGCCTCCCGTAATGGACCCGGGAGCTGGTCTCTCTAGCTCTCCGCGACCATGATGGGTGTCAAGGGGGCAGAGGATGGTGCTCTCTCTGCCACGAGGCCCCGCCCACAGCACCTGCTACCTGGGGGGTGGCAGGCATTCATCGGGACTCCAACTTCTCATTTCCTTTCACCTGTGTGTGTGGGTCCGGGAGGGTAGCTAGACTCGGGGGCTGGTGCTGGGAACTGCCCGATGCCACCCCAACCCCAGGGACACGGAGCTCCCTCTGCTGTCAGTTCCAGGAGTGACGAAGGAGCTGCTGAGGGCTGAGTGTCTGGGAGGGACGGCCCCCCTGCTTGTCCCCAGCCGTCCACATAAACGTTCACGTTCCCTGCTAGCACGGACTGTGTCTACGGACTCCAACGCCTACCTGGACCGGGTCCGCTTCCTGCTGACGCCCGGGCTGTTACTCATCCGGTAGGCCGTGGGGACACTCCTTTCTTCCCTCCGTCTCTCGGGAGAGTGTGCTCTTCTCCGAGGGGACCGGGATCGCGACCTGGAGGAAAAGAGGCATTTTAGTCTGTGTGGCCGGCAGGTGAGCACGTCTACGCTGAGGCAGTGACGGGCCTCCGCCTGGTCTGTGCGTGCCTGGCAGGTGTCACCTCTGTCCCTCTGGAGGCCCACCCCCCCGCCCCGGGCCTTACTACTCTGACACAGAACTGAATCCAGACACCGAGGCAGAGATAGAGACTGCTCCCAGTCCAGAGCAGCCGTCAGGCTGGCCCAACCGGTCCGCAGCACCAACTCTCCCTGATGCTAGGGCTGACCAGGTGACTGACGGCTAACTCAGGCCTGTGGTTTCTCGTCCTTCCTTTTGCCTCTGCATTTTACTGTCCTCAACCATTTTCAGCTCACGGACATCTCGATCAAAATTACACACGGAAAAGCGCTGACATTCAAGTGCGTTGTTTCTATTTGTTCTGAATACTGGCAACAGGAAGAAAGCAGATTAATCAGAGCCAGGACCTCGTAGCCTCTCTCGTGCACACCCATCATATGGCCTCTCGGTGTGAACAATGAACTGGCCACAGCAGTTCAATTCAGAGCATGATAATCTAGTTGAGGAGATTCTCTGGATTCAAACCATCTGTTAAAATATTTTATTCTTCCTTCTCATGTTCCTGGAGAGACACTCGCTCTATCCATGTAGTGGTCTGGTCCACTCGAGGTGGCCAGTGCTCAGAGTGATACCAATCCCAGACCCTCACCCACCGGGGGTCAAGGCCCTCCAAGGAGGGTCTTAAAATGATGGCTTTAGCATTCTTTTTTGTTCATTCAGTGAAATTACTATTTCAGGAAGACACAGAGTAAGCAAAAATCTGGACAAAAAGCCAATTTCTTTTCATTCTGCTTCTATGACAACCCCTTCAAAAATAATATAAAGAGCAATCTGATTTTGCCATAAAAAATTCTGTAACACTGAATCATTTTAATTACAATAAACCCCCAAGTGACACACACTGTTGTTCCAAACATCAGCTTATCATCACATTCCCCACTCCTGCGTCACAGAGAAAACCCTGCGTCATTCCTGAGAAAGACTGGCCGCGGAATGAACCTGCTCCAGGTAAACCGTCATTGGCTTAGTCTTCTCCAGCACCACTGTGTCCTGGCTTACAAAATGGTGTTGACAGGTTTTTTTCCAGACCTTTCCCAAGATTTAGGTAACAAATTACAAGGGTGAGATCAATCGGACACCTTGACATTTTACCGAGTTTTCCCTCCAAAGAGCTCTGGGAGTCAACTCTGTCGGTGGGAGAAGCTGCTGACAGCTGCTGAGGTCTGTGCTCCCGCCCCAGCGAGCGGCCCTGCTGCGCTCTGGGCTCAGGAGCCCCGGGGGGGCTGGGCATGTGACACAGAGGCACGCACTTCACACTGAGAACTCGGGATGCCGGTCGGGGTGGGATCAGAGCCCCGGAGAAAGCTCTGCGTAATCACCTCTACACCACCCGTGGAATGCTTACACGGAGAACAATCCACTCGATAATCAGGAAACGTGGGTTAGTTCTAGTGCCTGCAAATCCCTAACTCTGATCCGATACCACTTTGCAGCGACTGCTGGAGGTCTGAGGGGAGGTGGCCGCCCCCCAGGACATGTGAGGTCATCTGGGAAAGCAGCCCACTCAGTACTGGGGGCAGTGAGCTTTGTCAGATAATACTTAGGTTTTATTTTAATTAAAGAAGCACTAATGCTTTTATTCTGTTAACCAGGTGGTTAATATTGCTAGGACAACACACGTGAGAAACAGGAGTTCCATTTTATAAGCAAATCATCTGTATGATGCGACTCAGATACTTTTTCTCGAATCCTCATAAATAACGGTTTGCTTCCAAATAAAGGCAGAATGAGCCTTTTTATTTGAATGACAGTGCTGTTTGCAAAAAACTTCTTTCCTCCAACAGTTAACCACTGGCCCCGCCCCATTTCCTCCATCGCTGCCTGTTGCCAAGAGCTCCTGTTGCCGACCACACTCTGGCGCTGCTGGGGGGGGGGGGGGCAGCTGTCCCACGGTGTCTCCGCCCGCCCAGCTGCGGATGGGGACAGCCTGCGGGCATCGGCTCCACAGAACAGAACAGCTGGCCCTCACCCGCACGCTAAGCACTGAGTGTCACATCTAGGGAATCCTACGCAGGATGACGAGACTGTACGAATGACCATCATTACCCCAATTTTGCCAGCTTAAGCTGTTTTTTTGTTGTTGTTTTCTTTATTTTAAAGACTTTGTTTATTTGACAGAGAGAGACACAGTGAGAGAGGGAACACAAGCAGGGGGATTGGGAGAGGGAGAAGCAGGCTTCCCGCGGAGCAGGGAGCCCAATGCGGGGCTCGATCCCAGGACCCTGGGATCATGACCTGAGCTGAAGGCAGACGCTTAACGACTGAGCCACCCAGGCACCCCAGGCTTAAGCTGTTTTTGAATGTTAACTATGACTTAGAAAATGTCATTCTAATCCCCAGTTCCTTACCAAGCAGAAGTCTCGAGGGAGCTGGGGACTGTGTAGACACTGCCCCCAATGCTTTTACAATACTGTAAAATGGGGGACACAGAGTTCTACCTGGAATCTCTCCCCCACGGACATCCCTTAAACACCAACAAGCCGATGGAATAAACACCAAAGGTGATCTCCAACGTTCTTAAAGTAAACTTAAGTTCAAGCTTTAGAGTCTCTTAAGATTTTAAAAAGACCTAACCACTAAAGCTGAATTTTTAGGTGATACAGGAATGGCCTGAGTACTACTTTGTTCCATTTACGGCGAGAACCTGGTGAGGCATAAACAGAAAACACAGAGAGGGGTGTCTGGGTGGCTCAGTCGGTTGGGCCTCCGACTCCTGATTTCAGCTCAGGTCCTGACCTCAGGGTTGTGGGATCGAGCCCTGCACTGGGCTCTGTGCTGAGTGCAGAGTTTGCTTGAGTTTCTCTCCCTCTGCCCCCCACCCCCCAACCCCCAGCCGTCTGCACTCTAATAAAGAAATAAATCCTCTAAAAAACATAAAAACAAAACCTAAAAAAACTAAAAAACAGAGAAAGAAAGTCTTACACTTTAATGTTGATTTAAAACACACCTAGCACTATGTGGTAACCACTGTGCTTTCTAAGAAGCAATATACCGATTTCCGAAACTAAAGATTTTTCTATGACCGGGTCGCCTCTGGAGACCCAGAGTCACCTACACCTCGGACGGACTGGGTACTAGGACGGCAGACATGCGAACGTCCCTTATGTTCACACAGAGATCACTTCTGCTAGGAAAGGGCCTTCTAACCCTAACTTTGTACATTTACAAAGCACTTCAGTAATTTAATATGTAAAAGAAAATACATTTCAACCACAGAATGCTACAAATATTGACAAATGTGCATTTTACTTGGAGTTGGCAGGAGTCTTTTTTAAGACAATCGATTAAGTTGTGCATCAGGCCCAAGAAACAAGTCTGATAGGTCCTTTGTAGGCGTTACTGTAAAGGGTAATGCTATCTGAAAAGACAGTCAAGGAAAAATGATGACAGTGTCTTTAGCAACTTCAGGATTTGGTTAAAACTGGAGTATTTTTCACACATCCGAATTCAATTACTGAGAACACCAACCTCTCCTGGTGTAAACCCACCGGGGCCCCTGGAGTTATCAGTGCTGGCAGCACCTGGACTGAGAAAGCAGGGGCAGCCGCCCGCGGAAACACGCAGCATTCGCAAATGAAGCCCACATGCCGTTCTCAGCCGGGAACCGAGGCAGGACGCCCCTGGCGACCGGCAGGAGCCACCTGCTCCTCTGAGCGGCCCTGGGCCCCGGGACAGCTGGCCCCTCCTCTCAGCCCCAGGCCCCGAGCTTGGTGGGGGGCGGGTCTGGCTTCAAAAAGCGTTGTCATCACATACGATTTTCCAAGGCAAACATCATGGAATACCAAACACTTTGAAGGTTTTGTGTTACGATGTAATTTTTAATATTTTATAACGAAGCTGCACTTTACCTCAATATCCTACGTGAACTGCAAAACCAGAAACCGGAGAACGTGGCTGCTTCAGGGAACTGAGAACTTAGCCCCGTACCTACAGTGAGCCCAAAGCATCATGGAGATACTCAGCCACCGGGATTGAAACAGTTTGAGAGTCAGGAAAACTCAGCTCGGGTCACAGGTAACTTTCACTGTAGGTCAAATTAAGGTGAAGCTGGCAGCCTGCCATCGCAGACTCAAATGCAGAAAATCTTTAACTTAATTTTTTTTTTGTAACTCAAGGTTACACACTAAGGATTAGGATTTTGCTTCTTGCACTTGTCAGCACTGAATATACAGAAAAATACAAAATATATTCAGATATAAAGTATGTAACTCTAAATCTTTTCTACAACAATTACTTAGGGGTGCCTGGGTGGCTTGGTCAGCTTGGGTCATGGTCTGGGGGTTGTGAGATGGAGCCCCGCGTCGGGCTCTGTGCTGGGTGTGGAGCCTGTTTGGGATTCTCTTTCCTTCTCCCTCTGCCCCTCCTCTCCCTCTCTCAAAAAACAAAAACAAATACCAATTATTTAAAAAGTATTAGAATGGGGGCACCTGGGTGACTCAGTCAGTTAAGTGTCTCAGGTCATGGTCCCAGGGTCCTGGGATCTAGTCCCACATCGGGCTCCTTGCGCTGCGGGGAGCCTGCTTCTCCCTCTCCCTCTGCCGCTCCCCCACTTGTGCTCGCTCGCTCTCTCTCTCAAATAAATAAAACCTTAAAACAAGTACTAAAATAACATAAAATGACTTACTCTATTACAGTCAATAAAAAGCACATAAAACCTAGAATCTTAAAATTCTAAGTGTCAAGACGAGCACTCAGCTGTGCAGAGAACAGGCTGGGGGGACGTGCGTGGCTGGCGCATCACCCTCCTCACAGCTGGGGGTGGGCTACACTTCATGCCGTACCTGCTCAACACTCGACGTCAGAGCAGAACTCACAGCTCACACTGAAGACGCGAGGAGCTCTCATCGTTGCCAGTCCCCCAGACTAGGGAGTAGGAGTGAATCACGGTCTGTCTTGTTAAAGCCGTGTGGTGAAGGACAATCGGCCAGAATTTACCGGGCATGTTATTGCTCAGAGGGCTGGTGTGGGCCCACGGGACTTATGTCCACTATACAATATGGTAAGAAACTCTCTCAAAAAAGAAACTTCAAAACGTTTTGAGATTTACATACAAATTCCTGGGAGCTTCCAAAAATTGAAGTTCTATCAGCAAAGCTGTTCATTTAATTAAAAAACAGCAAGTGTGTGGGTGTGTGTCTGGGTACCTGCGTGTGTGTATACGTTGTGTGTGCATCTCACGATGGAACTTTTTAATTATGTTATGTTAATACATTAGCGATGGAGCTTCTAAAGAACGATCAGAACTGCAGACAGCCAAGGATCAAATGTATTTATGTGGAGAATATCCAATTTCACTGTTGACAAGTGTAAATACTCGTCAAGCCTTTGAGATCTGGTCTGGGTAAAAACAGGGAAAGCGTGTTGTTTTTAGGACATATTCGGAGAGGCGAATGTGTTTTAAACAGAGGAAGTGCAGGGCATGTACACTTTCCCAGGGAAGGGAGAACCAGCATCAATTACAGAGGAAAAAAACGAGATCCTAGGGGTCCAAGCGTTGTGCCAAAGAGAAAGCAAGCAGAGTGCACTCAACACTTAGAAACAGGTCGCAAGGTATGACGCAGGTTTTAAAACCAGAGGTCTGCTTTCCAAACCTCCTGCAAGCCAGTTACTTAAAACTGCTTCACTGAGCAGTGAATTCTGTGACCCTTTAAGGGCCGTGTTTGTATCTGTGGCCTGAGATCTTCATCCTTTTTCTCAAACCCGGCGGTTAAGAGCGCCTCTTACGGGAGGTCATAAGCGCAAATCGATGGAGGGAAGAAACAGGCGCTGCTTGCCTGGCCGCGGTGCAGGAGGGGCTGCGCGGAGCCCCCATCACAACACGCACACGGGCAAAAGGAATTAGCAGGGAAAGGCCCACAAACAAGACACCCACCCTGTACGTTTTACACATTGAACAGACCTGTTAAAGTTTATATAAACCTATTTTCCAAAAACAGGGCCACAGCGGATGAGCTTTAGAAATTAAACTCAAAGACAACCTGAAAGCGTCATGGGGTTTGCCAGCTGCACCCGTGGGGGAGTGCTCACCAGGTCTGCGCTCGCCCTGCCACTCTGGGGAAGGAGGACCCAGCACCCACCGCAGCCCCGTGCTTCGGGTGCCCCACACACGTACCTGGAGCGCCGCGCCGTCCGATAGGCACTGGGGAGACAGTGCTTTGCTTTCGAGTGGGACCTGGGCCTGGATTTGGAGGATGAGTGGTACTTGGGGGAGCGCGACCTTGTGCGAGACCGCTTTTTGTGCTTTTTCTTCTTCCTCTCCTTCTCTTCTTCCCTTGGTGGGTCTTTACTTTTGCTGGAGGGCCCTTCTGGGGGTTTAACGTCTGAAGCTGGCAAAGGTCTGCCTCCGGCCGGTAGCACACAGGACACAGTACTGGCTTCCTGGGGACGGAAGCAAACATCGGGATGTTAAGAGTGAAAATAGGACATTTCAAAATGCACATACACAGAATTTCAACTTTGGGGCCCTCACACCATTTAATGCACCAACACCCCTTAGAAAGGACCACGTCTCTTTCTATAGCTCTAAAATCTCGCCCCAGGGGCGCCTGGGTGGCTCAGATGGTTAAGCGTCTGCCTTCGGCTTAGGTCATGATCCCAGGGTCCTGGGATCGAGCCCCGCATCGGGCTCCCTGCTCTGCAGGAAGCCTGCTTCTCCCTCCTCCACTCCCCCTGCTTGTGTTCCCTCTCTCGCTGTGTCTCTCTCTGTCATATAAAAAAAAAAAAAAGAAAGTAAAAGCTCACCCTGGTGTCTCCAGAGAAGTGACGGCTCTGCAGATGCCAGGAGTATACGAGACCATTTCCCCAGACGGGGCTTGTTCAGCAGCTGGCGGGGCTTGACCTCGTCCAGGGAACACGGTGGCAAGGACACCGTATTAGGAAAAGAGCCGCGCTTGCTCCTTCATAAATAATTGTGACTTTCCATTGACAGAGAAATGCTCCAACCTCCAGGAATGGGCTGTTAGGAATCTCTACACCAATCTGAAGATAATTTTTAAACAAGACCTGAACTAAAAGAGGTCCTCTTTGATTTTAAGAACTCTGTCAAAAGAAAAAACCTTCCTTCTTTCCTTCCTGTATCTGTGTGAGTTGACAGATGTTAACTAAACCCACTGTGGCCATCCCTTCACAACATACCTCAGTGACCGTGCCGCGGACCTCCCACGCATGGTGCTGTGCGCTCAGGAACACGGGAAAACACGGCTTGCACAGCAACCCTTACCCAGGCAGCCTGCGGGCACAAGCCAGTCTGCACGTGCTGATCCAGCACAGTCCTGCTCTCAACACACTGTCCACCATAAACCCCTTCATCCACCTGACACAGACACAGAGGGACGTCCTCTGCATCCCCACGGCGGGAAGGCCAGCATGCGGACCCAGAGACGGGGGGCCCATCAGCTATGAGCATCATCCAGAGCAATGGCAGTTCTAGCAATTTCTTCTGAAGAGCATTCACCCGAGTGTGCACGCTGCACACCAAGGCCCCACAGCACACCCCTATGGACCGACTACGACCTGGACACCACCCAAACGACCCTCGGGGGCACTGGTTCCACGTGGCGCGCCGGACAGTGAAACAGCGCTCAGCCTTTAAAAACGAGGCAGCAATCCCATGTCCGCTGACACTGACATTGTCCACGTCACAGTGTAAAAAAAAGAAATGAGTTCACAAAAACAAAACAAACCCCAAACCCACCCAAACCTGAACCTGAATCCCAGCCCACGGGCTACCTGCCTTTGTCCCCGAGAAAGGTCACTCCTCAATTCGCTCTAAATGACCACACAGACCGCGAGATGCACCGCGACTCTGCACTCGGCATCATGGGCCTCCAAGGACTCAGCTGGGACACTCGGGATGAAGGGAGTCAGGTGCTGAGCCTAAGGGATGGGTGCACCTGCAGGGCAGGGCTGCGGAATCCTGCAACTGCTCCCGTCCTCTTCTCGGGTCCCTGTGGTCCACGTGGACAAGGCCCACTGGACAAGGGGACAGTGCTTCCTGCTAAAGCCTCGCTCACCCCTCGGCCGTGTCCCTGCCCCCTGCCGTTGACGTTCACGGCGCTCTCTCCCACCTGCTCTCCCGTGAGCAGAGGCCCAAGGGGGCATGTGTGCAAGGCAGCAGGGCCGAGATGCTCAAGAACACCACGCCCTGCTCCCAGAGCGCCGTGTCCCAAGAGGGTTCTCCCCCCGCAGTAACTCAGTACGGGAGCCGGCAGGAGGAGGGCAGAGACCTCGTCCTCCCTCCCCAGCCTCCACGGCGGCAGCGCTGCGAGCTCATCTCTAAGGGTCGGCCTAAACTGGCTCAGGGCGCCCATCTCAACCCCAGACAAGAACCCACCTGCGATGTCTGGGAACAGCCACTTCAGCTATGGCACTGGGCAAGACTTGTCCGGGCGCACACACCATACACGGCACTCTGACCGAGCGCAGGAGGCTCCAAGGCGCTAGAGGCCGGAGAAGGGGAGGCCGCCCAGCCCCGCCTCATGCCGTGGGCACAGCCCTGGTGTGCCGACTGAGGGGGAACTCCACGCTGTGCGGCAGGAAAGTCAGCTTGGGGCAGCTTTGAAAACTCCCAAGAAATTAGGGACACATATTGCAAGAAAGGTGAGACGGAAGCTGGGAAGGAAGCCAGCACGCGACCCCCCTGACGGGGCCCGGGGCCCACGTGGAAGCCGAGTGAGCGTCGGAGCCCCCAGTGGAGGGAGGACAGCCGAGCCGCCCCAGGTCCTTCCTGAGCCCAGGCCCGAGACTCCCCGGGAAACCCAGATGGACCCTCCACCCTGCCCAGAGGTCTGCTCCGGGTTGAGTGCAGAGAATCCCAGGGCTGCTGTCCCTCTCAGACTCTCCCTCTGTCCCTCCACATGGGACAGACCCGCGGCACTCACCAGTGACACCCCGAGGCACTCCGAGGGGGCGCACACGGCACCCGGGCCATCGGGCACCGGGAAAGGCTGCACGCCAGCCTGAGACACGGAGGGCGTGCGGTGGCTCACAGGCTGCGCTTCTATTTACCCTTTTACTGCCAACCTGGGGACTCCATCTCTGAACCTCGTACTGTCTCTCTGCCTTTATTCCAACTACTGCCCGTTGTTAGCGACACCTCACCCTGGCTCCACTTGAAGAAACAGGTAATCAAACCAACATTTTCAAAATAGAACTTGTAATCGAGTCACTTATTTATTCTAATAAAATGATTATCGTTCAGAATTAAAGTGAAAATCAGCAACTGTAGGGACCTTTCCCTGACTGACTTAAGATGATTCATTGTGATGACCTCAGCTTATGAGTAGCAAGAGAATATTTAAAAATCCAGCAATTAGACTCGAGAACAAAACAATAAAGGGTAACAAATACCACCAGCTCAGTCACTGTGACCCAACAGCTAGTCCCAGGGCGCCGCCCCCGTCACGTCTGAAGCTGAGCAGCTCCGTGCACTCGGGAAGGCAGAGACATCGGACCCTCCCACAGCCCAGTCACCATGCCAGGGCAGGGGAAGGGCAGGCTCGGTCACGACCCTCATGCAGGCTATGCCTCCGCCTGTGAGCAAGTGTCGGCACCAAGCTCAAAGACGCACCACCTGGAGATTTCCAGGCCATGCCTGTTCTGCACGGCCAGGACGGCGGAGGGGAAGATGTGCTTCGGGAGTTCCAGGCGCAGGCCCGGGGCTCTGGCCACACAAACACAAGGGCAGGGTGCCCCAAGGCCTCGCAGGGGTGCTCTCTCACTCGCTAAGGGACAGGTGTGCATCACCGGCCTCTCCAACTACCCTGGAGGGATTCCTGCTACACAGCGAGACAGGATGGGGAAATTCAAGGAACACCGAGGGAAGTTTCTCGTGGCCGCACAATAATGACGTGGGCCATAAAACCGTTTCAGGCAAATGTAAGCAAGATGTCTGGACGAGTGCGGTGGACACCTGCCCCCTACTCGTGCAAATCCTGCCTGTGAGGGCAACGGCCCTTTCCGCCCCTCAATCCATGAATTCCAGAGGCAGCTCACTCTACCTAAGCAGGAGACAGACCAGAACAGTCCACCTCCCTGGTCGTCGTGCCGAGGGAGAAGCACACGAGCCTAGTCAAGCTGTCCAGGATTTAGGTCTGAGTGGGCGATGAGGTGAGTCAGGGGCTGAGGATGCAGCCGGCCAGGGGACACGGTGCCTGGAGATGGATCCTTGAGACACCTTCCGAGCCCCGAGTGGGCTGCACCACCCTCATAGCGCAGAACAGGAGCCCCACTCTCTACTGGTTTTGCTTAAGCCACGTGGGGGCAGTGGGGTCGGTTTCTGACCCATGCAAAGCCTGACTGGTACAGCAAGCCGGACTTTCAAACCATTAGAAAATAAACTCAGTACCCAACTAGCTATTGACTCTGTACTTTGCTGCAACGATGGGAGTGTTCTGTTCCTACTGCCCATCCACGGCAGTTAGCTATTGGCCACATGTGGCTCCGGGACACCTGAAATGTGGCCACTATGACTAAGGACCTGAATTTTGAATTTTCTTTAATTTTTTTTTTTTTTTTAAGATTTTATTGATTTATTTGACAGAGAGATAGATAGCGAGAGTAGGAACACAAGCAGGGGGAGTGGGAGAGCAAGAAGCAGGCTTCCCGCCGAGCAGGGAGCCCGATGTGGGACTCGATCCCAGGACCCTGGGATCATGACCTGAGCCGAAGGCAGACGCTTAACGACTGAGCCACCCAGGCGCCCGAATTTTCTTTAATTTTTAAAAAAAGTTTTATTATTTATTAGAGAGAGAGAGAGAAAGAGAGCACGAGCAGGGGGAGGGGCAGGAGCAGAGGGAGCAGCAGACCCCCCGCTGAGCAGGGAGCCCGACACAGGGCCGAGATCATGACCTGAGCTGAAGGCAGACGCTTCACTGGCTAGGCCACCCAGGCACCCCGATTTAATCTTTCTTAAGTTAAATTTAAATGACCATGGGTGGCTAGTGGCTACCATATTGAACAGTGCATACCCTGAAAACACCTTTGCCCATAAATGCTATTTCTGGCTTAACCAGAGTCTCCACTGCCTCGCTAACTTTAATGGCACGTACAAGTGACCTGGAAGACAAATCTTGCCTGCGGCTCCCCACCTCCCCACTCTGGTTTCTGAAGGCGCCTGGCAGAGCCCTCTGCGCCCGAGATCAACAAGAGGCTGATGGAAACGCCTGAGGGAGGCATGGCCATGGGTGTGCACGCTGACCAGCACCAAACTAGCAGAACTGCCCTTCTGGGCTGGAATACTAATATTCCAGCAAAAATGACCAAAGCACAAACCACCATGGGAGGAGGAGGGGACACGGGTTGGTCTGAGTGGCGTTGGGGAGAATTCAAGGAGGAACTTTGGGAAAATTATGACAGTATTTAAAAACTTACTGCCCCCAGTTTAGGGACACTGGGAGATGACACTAGTCAGTCCTTCGATCACAAGGAAGTATCTGCCAACAAATTAGCACAAAATTAACAACTATTACGTCCTGCTGTGAGAAAATGAATTGCTCAGAAGCAGATGAACATGTACTTTAAAACAATCTCATTTGTGAAATAACACTACATCAACTATAAAAATGGGATAATTATGCATAAACCTCAAGATTTTACTATGAGTTTGACATTTCAGACTCTGAAACACATCCTGTGAAACTGCACGTTCAGGGACACCCGGGTGGCTCAGTGTTAAGCATCTGCCTCCAGCTCAGGTCATGGTCCCAGGGTCCTGGGATCGAGCCCCGCATCAGGCTCCCTGCTCAGCAGGAAGCCTGCTTCTCCCTCTCCCTCTCCCCCTGCTTGTGTTCCCTCTCTCACGGTCTCTCTCTGTCAAGTAAGTAAATAAAATCTTAAAAAAAAAAAACAACAACCCGCACGTTGGAATCTCTGCTTACTGCCTGTCGGTCCAGGTCCCGCACGGCACCTCTGGAGCTGAGCGCCCAAGCTTTTCTCTGCATGTCCTACTGCGTGGGTGCCAGCCACTGCCTCACCCGGTCATCTATGTCCTCACGCCCTCCCACCCGACACAGTGGCCACTGTGTTCCCGTGGAGCTGCCCCTCCTCGTCAGCGTGCCCTCTGATTCCAGCAGGCAGCTGCGGCACTGCCACCCCAACCGTGCCTTCTCCTGCAGACCCTCGGGGGCGGTGCTCATCGCTGGGGTGGCGCCCACCTCCACCGTGTGGGGGTCTTTCGCGCTGGAGGGCCCTCCCTATGTGGTCATGTCCCAGCATGACCAAGGTTCCTGAAGCCTGCCTCCCGGAGGCCCAGGCATCATCCACGTGCTCGTCTTCTCGGCTGCCCTGCATGCTGCAGGACGGTCCTGGTGGTCACATGCAACTGTGTGGTCACTGGGTAAGAAACAGGCTCCTCGTTCATCTTCCAAAGTGTCTTGGTGCCTTGAATACAACAGAGGCTCAACAAACACAGGCTGATTTTTGTTCTCATCTCCTTGCAAACTCTTGCTGGGCCCACAAACTTGGCAGGGTCACTAACCTGAACTGCTGCTCTCTACAGGCGGTCCTGAAAGGTGCTGTTACCGTGCAAACGATCACGTGATAACGCAAACGGGCTCAACTTTAAGACCATTGCTTTCTCTTCATTTTGAATCAAGAACATACCCCAAAATGAGACGTGTACGCAGATTTCTGAGTACTACTTATGGACACGCTTTTCTGTATCTTACAGACTGCTCAACAACGTACTGTCCGTACCTGTCCACGTCGACAAACACGCCCCACGATGTGACGTGAGGTTGTACCCAATTACAGAAGACCCCTCTCCTGACACGCAGGTCGGAGGGGCCGACAGAGGGGGCGAGGTGCACGTGGAACGTGCTGTGTACTGCAGGTGGCCTTTGCAGTGAGTGGAAAGGTGAGGGATTTGGTGACTTGCACCGTGTCCAGCTCTATGCTCGTCAAACCGAAGTAATTCCAAGTCGGGCAGGCCATGGTGGACAAAGAGGAAAACCATCGGCGAAACTGGTCACAAAGAGCCATCACAAAAGAGGTCGGCAGCCAGGAAGACATGAGGGGGGACCAGGACGCCATGCAGCCCATAAAAAGTCACCCTGTATCAGGACACTTAAAACCCGTAAGCGAAGCAAAGAGATGTCATCTTTCCACCTGTCAGACTGACGAGTCAGGGGCTGGTGGTAGCCGGCTCCGGCAGGGGTATTTTCATACCCCCAGAGAGAGACAAAAATGGCCACAATCGTGTTAAGGGCTCACTTAGCAGTGCCTGAAATTTAAAAAGCATTTCTACAGTCAGGGATTCACCCCATGGCTCCACACACTGAAGTAGTGCACGAGACCCAGGAGCAGGGTTATAGCGCTAAGACCCGGGGGCGGCCTGCACGTCCGCCGTAGACTGGGTCAACCTTAGGGCTAGTAGCAGTCCCTCGTCCAATAAGTACTCCCTAAGCACGAGTGTTGACGGGCACAGGGAAGAGCTCTTCCGGAGGCGAAAAGCCCGACATGCCACAGTAACGCACCGGGCGTGGGCCTAGGAGCGTGATATTTCAATCTACACATGGAAATAGGTTGTTTTCCCTTGAGAATACACAAGAACTAAAACGCAGTATTCACATACCATGGGGTATGATTCAGCTTAAAAAACGACATTGTGACAGGTGACATAGGCTGGTCCCGGAAGAACCAATACTCCACCTCCACGAGGCCCTGAGAGCAGCCAGGCCGATGGCCACGGACGGCGTGGGCTCCAGGGGCCCCCCGGCCAGTGGTTCATGGGGCAGAGTCTCACTCAGGAAGATGACAAGGCCCTGGGGGTGGAGGGTGGTGACGGCGGCACGTGATGCTCAGTGCTCAGTGCTGCTGAACGGTGTGCTCAGAAAGGGTTAAGGTGACAAGTTGTATATATGTTTATTTCACACGATAAAAACTGAAATAAATAAGGACTCCATAGGAATTGTGAAACAGGAACACACGAGTAGGGAGGCCTGCTTCCTCCTCGTCCGCGCCTCTCCCCTGCACGTGGACGGTCTGCGTCAAGCGCACGCACCGCTGTTAATCAAAGTCAAAGCAGATGAGCTGTCACAAGCTCCAGCCAGGTTTTGAGCCAGGCCTTCTGAGGGGCGTCCCTACACTGCCCTGCACAGGCGGCTCACACAGGCTGGGGGGCCACACCCCAGCAGCTCCCGAGCCCCCACACCCGGGTGGGCAGGGCGGGGGGACGGGTGTGTCAGCACCTGTGAGTGGAGTGTGCACAGCACGGCCCACGAAGGCAGGCTGACCTGTCTCCGGAAGCTGCTTTAGGCTAAAATACTTCCCAACTGAATCTCCTTTATGACAACTGCCAACGTAATTAAAGGATTTTTGTTTCAAAGCAATTAAAGACATTATTACCATCTGCTACTACCATCATGTTTTTGTTGAAATAGCTTAAGAATTACAATCCCTCCACTAGATGTGCAAGAAGATTGACTCAGTGATTTAAACAAGAAGCACCAACACTCATTTCTACGTACGTATGACAGATTCAGAACACGTGCTTGAAAACAAGAAACGTGGGAGACGCCACCCGTGGATAAACAGGAAAAAAGCCCAAGTTGAAGCCTATCTTGTATTTACAGGGAGAGGATTCTGGTAGCTGTGAGGAGGCAACACAGCAGACTGGGGGAAACTGCGAATCAACGATGAATAATTCCGGCCGCGACCAAGTTTCCACTCAAACACGACGCTGTCAGGAAATACAGATATGACGACGTAACATCACCGGCTAAAACAGCTCCGTATGCAGATGTCCACGAGCTACACCGTCCACTCCACGTGCACACGGCCTCAGAACAATGCAGGCCACGCACACAGCCCACTCCGAGCCGCAACCATCCCAGGGGAGGCATGTCGGCCTCTGCTTCTCCCTGACTGAGCCCCAGACCGGCTCCTGACGGGAGACGGTGGGCTTGGCCGGCAGCAGGAGGCGGGAGCCCGGAACTCAGGGTGAGGTTTTCCTCGGGAAAGATAGACACCCCGCAGGTACGTGCAGCCCAAACCCGTTTCGAGTCACAGCCCTAGACTCTCAGAGATGTCCACGTGATCAAGAGCACGGGGCGCCTTCTCCATCACTGGGGAAGGCCACTACAAGACAGGCTGGGGACAGTGGAGAAGCCCTGTCCCAAGCCCGGGGCAGGGGAGCAAACGTGCAGAGGGCTGGTCACGGAATTCAAGTACTGGTGTTGACATGGACCCAAGCCGTCAGTGCTCTGGCCAAGTGTGTCCCCAGGTGGATGCACGTCCCTCCCGGGAAAGCCCCCAGTGGCCTCATGCGCTCTTGGGAGCAGAGGTTCCCGGCCCGGGGTTAAAGGTCCAAGTCTCTGAGACCGCACCTGGCACCTGCCTCGGGTGCTTTGATGGTTTTGACCACACTCTCCTGGGCCCCCTTGGGGCAGGAGACCCACACTCACCCGCTTCTACACGGAACGCGGATGTGGACTTTAACTTACCTCCACGCTGAAAGGATTTTCCTCAACTTTTCCGACTTCTGCTTCTGGCAGAGGATTTTTTAAGGTTTGCAAAAATAAAGCTGCTTTCCTTTTACGTTCTGCTTGAAGCTGTTTCTCCTTCGATTCCTTAGACGCCTGGGCCAGCTTCTCTCTGGCAGCAGCTGCAAGTCGGTCCTCCAGCTTTTGCTTTGCTTAAGGAATAAACAAAAGACAGCGATGTTTAGAACACGTGGTATTTTATAAACACCTTGCTATCTTAATTTTCACAGGCAGAAAAAGGGCCACGAAATACAGTGCAGTTGTTCTAAAATGTGACCCAAATTTCAGGATAAACAAATCAAATTGAATTTTTAGAGAATTAGTTCAAAATGCGTATTATTAGTATTTCTAATAGTTCACCTTCAGAATCAAAGTCAGAAGGTTGATGGGATTCCACAGCAGGGAGAGCTGGAATCATGGAAACCTGAGAATGGCACTCATCCCCAGCAAGGGATGCTGCATTACAAGGTTTACTCCAAATGATCCGACGCATTGCTCAGTTACGGCAGTCGGTGCGGATTCAGACTCACGTGCGGAGCCGAGCCTGCTGAGAGCAACTATGCACGAGGCCAGGTCTGAGTAACCCATCCTTCTACAAATGTTGCTTCATCCGTGCGTGCATATACAGAAAAGCAGCATACAAACCCGGGGAGAACACACAGAAGCTGCTAATGCAACTACTTTAGTGCAGAACGCAGTGTGTTCTGGAGGAGGGGTGGGAGACTGGGGGGTGCTGGTGGTGTTGGGGGCAGCCGGCGGCCTGGCCAGGACCCAACCTGGGCCTGCGTCACCTTGAAGGGTCTGAAGGCTCTGCAGGCAGACCGCCTCACAGAAGGGCATCTCCTTGTTTGGTACAGGACCTGAGCCGGGAACACAGGCTGAGCATTCGCCCCAAGGCGGTGGTCAGAGCGCAAAGGCCCCCCGCCCCCCATGAAAGCACTGTGGGCAGACTCTAGAAACAAACAAGCTGCCGGGGGTCCTGCGTCTGATGCTTAGTGAAGAGCAGTGCCCGCATGCTCGACACCCCCACCGAAGCCCCTTGGTTCTGGTGTCCAAAGACTGGAGGTCCCAGTGGGCAGTCTGCACTGTGGGCTTAGTAGGTTAACCTTGTGTTTATGTACTTTTTCTCTCAAGAAGTTGAAAACATAATGACAAACCTTGCTTCGCTTCTAGCTCCTCCTGGGTAAGTTGAGGCCGCTTCTCCTCAACAACTACACAGGGTGGGGTAACTGCCGGGTTAGTGTTTGTAGCACTACTAGAACTTTCTTGGCCTTCTTTGCCTTCTTCATCATCATCACTGTCATCATCTAGCTTAACACGATTTTTTTCCAGGGGAAGTAGATCATTTTCTTTGGCCTTGATTGCAAAGCTTATTGGAGCAAATGAAGCTATTGAGAAAAGTGAAAATGGTGATACATTTTTAGGTACCTGGAAGCACAGAGCAGAAACCCTCACAGGCCCCACCATCCACATGAGCATCGGCTGGCGGGGCAGCGTCCCGAGTGGAGCCACATCTTACGCAGAGGGAGATCCTAGGGGCAGCGGCCTGCGCCTGTGTTTTCAGAAGGGGCTGTTGAAACGCACGCTGCACGCAGGGAGGCTGGGCTGGCTCACGGGGGGGACCCCATGCACGCCTCACCAGGGACGCAGGCACTAAGGGTGAGTCAGGGTTGCTGCGTTTGTAAAGGGTCAATTCTCCTTGGGGTTTTCCTTCTTTTTCTGGGCTCAGCATATGGCTGAATTTGCAAAGGTCAAACAGGCATATGATGCGACTCCACTATAAAAAGATATTTCTAAAAAAATCCCAACCCTATAAAGTAGCCTCTTCTTACAAAGCGAAGGTTACTGGGCCCAGTCCCTTACTCAGCAAACATCGTAACAGGCACCTACTTCATGCGAGGCATCATGTCAGACCACTGCTGTCACAAAATCTTAGGTGGTTCCGTGTTCTCCCCAAGAATATTTGAGAATTTTAACTTACGAGAAATACAAAGGCCCAAAAGGAAATAATCTTCTTCCCCGTACCCCCCCATCCACTCAGCACGCACTCAAGAGTCCGCTGCTCTCTTGGACACTAGGGTAAAGGTGGTTCTTTTTTTTTTTTTTTTTTTTTTTTAAAGATTTATTTATTTATTTGAGAGAGCGAGAATGAGAGAGAGAGAGAGTACATGAGAGGGGGGAGGGTTAGAGGGAGAAGCAGGCTCCCCGCCGAGCAGGGAGCCCGATGCGGGACTCGATCCCGGGACTCCAGGATCATGACCTGAGCCGAAGGCAGTCGCTTAACCAACTGAGCCACCCAGGCGCCCCGGGTAAAGGTGGTTCTTAACGACACCTAATCGACTGTACTAAGGTACTTCCCTTTTAAAAACCATGAATTATCATTTAATGAAAGACATCCAAGTAAACCACAGCAAAGGGAAATTTTACAGTGCAGTGCACACCAGCGAACTCTGAGAACGCAGGAAGGGCGTTCTGGGTAGGTATGCTGCTTTTGGATGTGCTCGACATTTTCCGTAAGAAACCCGGCAGGTTCCAGCAGAAGGGGCATGTCTGTCGGTGACTGCACACGGGGAGGGGTGGCCCAGCTGGCCCCTCAGGGTCCCACGATCAGCATTTTGCGGCTCCACAGCCACGCAAGCTGGAAGTACGTAAGTACCCCAGATCTCTGAAACATAACCACCTTTTGCCTACAATCACCTCGAGCCAGAGCACGCCCAGATGCTCAGTGCTGGGAAAAGCACAGTTGGTAAGTCAAGCGGAAAGTCAGCGTCGCACCGCCTGCGCCCCCGTGTACAACAGACCCCGCCCAGAGGCCACACAGGGGTCACAAACACGGTCTGTTAGGAGAGTCCACGGTAACCACTGTCCTGTGCGTGCGTTACACAGTCCATTGTCTGCAGGCACGCTACATCATCTATGGCTGAAATGCTACAATGTTGGGGACTGTGGGGCGGGCGGCAGGGGGAGCGGGGTGGTGTGCTCATCACAGCATGCTGCGTCTGTACACCCTGAAATTTTCTGAGAAAAACAAGTTTAATATTAACCCTTTACTGCCTATGGTAATATGATCTCTAACAAACACAGGCTCAACTGAACTTAAAAGGCAAAAAAATCACTTAAATGTTAATCAAAATTGCTCACAGACTTGGGGCTACAGTATTCTATCTCAAGATAACTTTAATGATTCTTAAACCATCTCTTCCTCCAAACAGAAAAACCAGCCATCAACAAATGTCATATTTTAAAATAAAAGCTTCCGGAACACTTTCTGTGCTAACACAACATTTGTAAGGACACTTGGCATTTACGCGTGTGAAACGAGGCCAAAGAGCACAGTTACTTGACGCAGACGCTAAAGCTAATAATTTAGTAACGGAAGGGAGCACCGTGACAGCCCGCGGGCCTCACCTCGCTAATGCGCAGCCTTGTCAGGGGTGCTGCTGGCCTCCCTGCTCACAGACGGGGAACCGAGGTAGTCACTTCTCCAGCGAGCTGAGCCAGAGAGCGGAGGACGGGAAACCTGCCTTCGTGTGAGGGAACCTACCCTGGATCCCCTGCAGCAAGGATGCGCCCCGGCTCCGGCCCCGCCTCCATCTGCAGGGCCTCCGTCTGCCGGGCCTCCGTCCGCGCGGCCCACCGCTGCCAGCCTCCCTTCCCCGGCCTCTGCCTCCCTTCCCCCGCTTCCGCCTCCTCCAGCCTCAGCTCACGGACGCCAGCCTGGCCTCTCTCCGCCCCCCTCCACACCTCTGCAGGTTTCGTATCCTGTGTCCACAGCCTGCTCACCCTGGGCTGCAGGGCGTGGGGCCAAGGCGGCTGGGAGCCAGGCCCGAGCGGCAGTCAGTGCATGTGGAGGCGCCCACAGTGCCCAGGCCTCCATTTTCCGCAGCAGATGCGACTCCATGGATAAGGGAACAGGCTCGTTACTGTTGGCCTTCAGAAGTAACCACGTTCTCTACGGAAAACTCTGAAGCCGCCGGCGGACAAAACGGAAGACCAGCCGTAGCGTAGACGTGAGGAGGAGCCGCCCGCACACACGTGAACGGGGCCACGCCAGAGCATTAGGACCTGCTCCTGCAGCGCCGTGCCATGTTTCCGGGTCAGCAGAGATCATTTTTAAAAACCGGAGTATTGTCTCTTGTTCTGGACGCTCCAGTTTATTTCAGTTTCCCACGACCACCGCCGAGGGTTTACTTCTAAGAGCCTACGGGCCTGCGGTGAGCACCCGGCCGGGTTGCCGGGCCGGCCCGCAGGTGTCGGAGCGCGAGCTGTCCGCGGGGAGGCTGGTCTTCTAGGGGCCGCGCCCTTGCACGCCTGCAAAGACAGCTCGCGTCCCCGCCGCCCGGAGCCTCTCCCTCGCTGAGCGCTGTGTTCAACTTGACTGATTTGGGAGGCAAAAAACAGCATTTTGTTAATGAAGATACACTTTAAAAATTTATTTACTGACCAGCTACTTGTCTTCTTTTGTGAGTGATCTGCCCGTGTCCTCGGCCCACTACCCTCTGCCGCACTGTCTTTTCTCAGCGGGCGCTGAGCTCTTCCCACAGTGCGCACAACTCCGCTTCTCCTCTTGCCGTGTGAGCCGTCTGTCACTGAACTTCGTTCAGGGCCTGTCCCCGTCAGACCTCCTAATCTTTCCTTAGGATTTAGGGCTTCAATTTTTAGAAAGTCTATTCCAACTCTTAGATCATAAAGAAGAAATTACCTTTACTTTCTTCCATCTTCATGGTTCTTTTTTAAAAAAAGATTTTATTTTAAAGAGAGAGTGTATGTGTGCAGGAGCTGAGGCGGCGGGACAAGCAGGCTGTGACCTCAGCGCGGAGCCCGACGCAGGGCCGGATCCCAGGACCCCGAGATCACGACTGGAGCTGAAATCGAGTTGGCGATGCGCCAAGCAGGTGCTGCTTTATGATTTTTTTTTTTCATTTAAATATATAATCTGCCTGGAACTATTGTTGTCAGATGTGAGGCTGAAGTCGTATTCGTTTGTTCTCTGTAACGGGGGGCCGGGCTTGCCGACGTGAGTTACTTTTGCACTGAAGAAGCTTCGCCGTCCACACTGCACGACACGCCGGTGCCTGCTGGGGACCTGCTGCCGGGCCCTGGGCCGCCCCGCACTCCCACGGGCCTTGGGTGGCACAGGCTCCTCTTTCCTGTGGGAGCAAACCTGACCCAACGCAGTACTTCCAGTGGCCTGGACTTGGCCGAACCCGTGCGTGTCCCCTAAGTTCTTCCAGACCTATACGTCCGTCACGTCCATCACACTACCTCTTCTTGACACGACAGTGGCAACTTACACTTTCCCAATTTTTTCAGTTATTTTCAAATTCATTCAAATTTAGGGTTATATGTATTATTCCTGCGCACTCTGAAAATCTGATTTTCTTCACCCACCGTATGCTGTGTATCCTATCCGCCTGCACAACAATATGCTTCACTGGCCTTTTCCTACATCCTCGCTGGTTCCGGCTCTGACATGTACTGTTCCCCCTCTCCTGCGTTCCTCAGATGCGTTTTATGCTTTCTAGGTTCTTCTTCTTCTTCTTTTTAATATTTTATTTGTCACAGCGAGAGAGGGAACACAAGCAGGGAGAACAGTAGAGAGCGGGAGAAGCAGGTTCCCCGCGGAGCAGGGAGCCCGACATGGGGCTCGATCCCAGGACCCTGAGATCATGACCTGAGCTGGAGGCAGACGCTTAGCTGACTAAACCACCCAGGCGCTCCAACGTTCTAGGTTCTTGAGCCGAATGCTTGTCACAGGTTTTCTTTACCAACATTGAGCATACAAAAGCTATGTAAATTTTTGTTTGACAATTTTGCTGTATTTGACAATTTTTTGACAAGAAATATTCCCATTGGGGGTGCCTGGCCGGCTCAGCCAGCGGAGCGAGCGACTCTTGATCTCAGGGTTGTGAGTTTAAGCTGCATGTTGGGTGTAAAGATTACTTAAAAATGGTATCTTAAAAAAAAAGAAAAAGATTTCTTTGACTCATTATTTTGGAGTCTTGACGCGTCTGAAAGTGTCTTTGTGCCCAGAAACATCCAGAATACTTTTCATTCAGAATTCCAGACACACCTTAATTACCTGGCATTTATTGCTGCAGATGTGGGTCTGACGTGCCAATCTGCCTTTCCTCCGCCCGGGGCACAACCTGCCCGTTTTTCTCTCTTGGATGCTTTCCTGCACCTCCACCTCCTCCCTTGGAGACCTGAAAACAATCTGCAGCCCATCTTTGCACCCGGGGTGATTTTCAGGCTTTCAGTGTATTTCACCGTATGGAGCTTGTTCCTAGGCAACCCCTGCAGATGTGCGCTGAGCAGCGGCACCACGTGCTGCGCTCAGTCACGATGCCTCCCTGGCACCCAGGCACTCTGCGGCTCCACACCGGACCGTCACAGGCGCGGGCCGGGCTCTGTGAGACGGCTCCGAGCGCAGCAGGAGGGGGGTGGGCCGTGTGGTCCCAGCTGCCCCACTGCCTGACGATCGTGGCAAGCCACCTGCTGCCCCCGGCTGCTCTGGCCTCCCACCCGCCCGCTCTCTGGTTGGCAGAGGCTGCCATGGCCTGGGGGTCACTGCCACCGAGCCCCAAAGTGTCCCTCTCTTCTCTATGAACTAAATTCCAGGCGGGCTGGCCTGTCCTTCTGAAACACAGATAGTAAATACCTCCCCCCGCTTCTGCAGCAACAACTGATTTTATTCTCCACTTATTATGTTCCTTTGTCATTTCGATGAGAGTCTGCAGGTGGCTGGGAAGGGTGAGATTCAGCAGGTGTGCTTAGGTAACTCCTGGAATGAGAGGCTCGACTGAGTTTCCCCGGTCAGTCACCCACCTGCGCCGGGCTGGTTACTCCAGATCACCACCCTATCCAACAAGGCAGCTCGATGCAAAGCACCTCTGCCCCAGCAGCTCGCCCTCCCCCGACTCTCTGCAGCTCTGTGTCCGGCACCAGCCCCACCAACAGCTCCAGGTGACTCTCTGCTGGGTGTCCTCACAGTCACCACCTGGATGCAGTCATTTCTCTGATCTGGCACCTGCGACGACCGAAGTCCCAGCGCCCCACGAGCTGATTGTGGCTGCTCTGCAAGCCGCGCCCCCCAGGACCCAGCCACCACTCTGACCACGCCTCCTGTGTGCACCTGCATGCAGCTCTGGCCTCTGCCTGGGACTGTGGCTCTGTGTGGGGTGCCTGGTACTCCACCAAGTCCCTCCCGTCCCTGCCACGTGGGACTCACTGCAGCTTCCTACGTCTCACCCACACTGACCTGTGCCAGCCCCCCGTCCCGCCCTTTTTAGTATATCGACGCTTTCTGTGTAGGCCTGCCTGAACAGAAGAAAGTCGTTCTAAGAACATAAATGGTGACAAGGTGCAAGGAGTGGAGGAGTGCCCGGGAGAGGGCCTCAGGACACACAGACAACTAATCTCATTGGTGCCAGAGTCCGTACGCGAGTGTGCCTGCTGGAGTCCAAGAAGGAGCCAAACACCCGGGACACGTGCTGAACATTTCCGTTAAACTTGCTAGAACAGACCACGAGACAAAGCTGTACCTCAGATGAGCTCCTATCCCAATGGCCCCACACTCCAAATGAGGAAAGATTGCGAGGCAGGGGAGCTTTAGGACAGCAACCTCCCAGAGGTGATGGCCCCCCACACCCCCGACCTGACCTGACGTCTGCAAGGGCGGGACTGGCAGCGGCCTACCTTTGACCAGCTTCCCGTCTGCTACAGTCTTACTGGATGACGCCTCCTTCTTCCCCGTGGGGCCGCCTCTCGCTGCGTCGGCCGAGTCTTCACACACACCCTCCTCCCCACCGTCACTCGGCTTTTCGGGAGCAGATTCTGCAGGAGCCTCTTCTGGTGCTGACACAGCCTAGAGATTGAACGTGACGGTCAACGGCGCCATCAGAGCCACCCAGGGTTTGCCACAGACAGACAGACAGACTTGCCACCTCCTGACACAACACAGCAGAGGGGGAGCGCAAGGAGGTTCTCCCTCTGGAAGGACAGAATGCCTCTAAAAGCTGTAATGCTGTCTCGGGGGCCGACGCACACCTCCTTTTCTTTGGACACAGATGCCTGAGAACCCTTCCAAAATATCAGATCATGCCCGTCGGCTGCACAGGAGTCATTTTTATCGGTCTGAGCAGTTACAGATACAAGTCTGAAGAACGCCACTGATAAGAAGCAAGGCCTACATCATCTACAAAATAGGTTTGAACCAAACAGGCACCCATGTAACCGGGGGAGCGCTGCAGGAGAAGCGTTACAAGGACAGGAGGAGCGGCATCCAGCAGGCGTGCGAGTCCCACAGCGGGACGCTGCACGGCGGCCGGCCGCCCCCAGGATAAAGGCCCCACCACGGGCAGCACTGGCCATGAGCACCACGCTCCCATTCTACATACGGACGGGTATGTTAGTGCAAAAGAAACAGGGAACAGGGCCTCCACCAAAAGCTGTTAAAAACAACAGCCAACCAAAACATCAAAGGCTTCAAGAGACAGGATTCTCTGTTCAGAACATGCTGATCATCAGTGAAGTTTGCACAGGGGTCAAAGTCTTCCAAGGATCCCAAACACAGGTTTCCACTCTGAAAGGTGCAGGCCCTCGCAGACAGAGTACAGCCAGGAGCCCTCTGCTGCGTCCTGGGAGTAAGTACCAGTATTCCTGCACCTGTGCCCCAGCCAACACAGAGGCTCCGGGTCTCCCCGGCCCCCCAGTACCTGTGCCCTGTCGCCCCCTTCCTTCTGGAGGAAGAACTGCTTCTTGAACTCGTAGTAGGCGTTATACTGGTGCCAGGGCTGCAGGAACTCGAACCTAGGAGCAGAGACGAGGACGGGTCAGCTGCGCGGACACACGGGGCTCCTACAGACGGCTCGCTGCGAGCAGCCGCTGTCCCACATGCTCTCCAACGACCACTCGAACCAGTTACCCCGACAGCCGTGCGTGGTCACAGAATCACACGCAAGCGCAACCTCTTGCTGGCTGGCTCACACCCGAGGCATGGAACATTATTTGATTAAATGGCAGACTCTTTTCCCTGGTTCTTTGTTTCGTGTTTCTTTATAAACACGTATCTTTTTTTTAAACTTGTATTTTTCTACCTGGCATATATATTTTTCTAGTTTTTATTTTCACTTCATTTGGTTAACGAACAGTCTGATACTCGTTTCAGGTGCGCGGTGTACTGACTGAGCACCTCCATACACCCCCCGGTGCTCCCCAGGACAGGTGCCCTCCTTCATCCTCATCCCCACCCCCTAAATGGCAGATTCTTGAAAAGCAGCAACTCCAGCCCTGTTTTAGGTAAGCTTCAGCATTCTTAAAAACAAAACAAACAAAAAACCCACCACACAACTCTAAGTAATTCAGCAAGGTGATTATAAGACGTATTTACGTAAACACACGAGGATTAAAAACGTTAAAGAAAGGAATTAGGTAGCTAGACTAAAACCAAGCTAAGTGAAACGCCCCACACACCCGTATCCATCCCCCCCGTTCCATTCCTCACCTCTGGTCGTTCTTGGCACGGACGCTGGTCTCAAACTTGAGGCCGTTGCGAGCCACGTATTCTGCCAGCTTGTCGATCACGGGCTGAATGTCGGGGGGCGGGGGGATGATGGCCGCCACGGGAGCAAGTGCACTGCAGAGGAGAGCTCCGTCACGCTCCCAGTGCAGGGGCCCCCAAAACCACCAGCTGGTGGACCAGCGCGGCGCGCTGTGGGGGGCTCTGAGCGTCCTGGGCCACACCCACACGCAGTGACACACACACACACACGGAGACTATCTGAGCACACCTTCAACCACGAACAATTAATCCAAGTCAGCTCCTTGAAAATGGACTAAAATATCCTTGCCAATGGTAAAAATGGGGTTTTATGGAAAGTAAGAACTAAAACCATAAAAACAGGTTTATTTTTTCCCCTAACGTTTCCCTCCAGTGATAAGCCAATTCTTAGAAGCAACCAAGAATAAGTCATGCGTTGATTCTTTTTCACATTAAAACAGAGGACGTGCACTTCAACATCCTCGTTTTGTGTCCCCTTTCTCAGCACGGTCAGAAAGGTCATTTTGCAGAAACACCCAAGTGTTCTGTCAAATTTCAACTGCAGGCACCCAGCGCTCCTGACAAAGCGCCCACAGAGCACTCGCCCACTCTGCAGACCCCAGATGTTGGTGTAAGACAGGTGTTGGGGCCCAATCTCTGCCCCACTGTCACTTTTGTTCAATGCTCAGCTGGTCTGGCAGCCAGCCCCCATTTGCCTACAGCTTCTGGGAGTCACTTCCATCGACTTCATAAAATCCTGCATTTCTTGGAAATAACTGCAGCTTCACTTCCCCCTGACTTTACGAAGAACTGCCCAACTGAGATGTCAGAACATCAGAAAGCCCAGATGTGGGGGGTCAGGGTGGTGTGGGTGCTAAGGATGCAGGGGTTATGGGGACTGTGGGGTGCTGAGGATGCAGGGGTCATGGGGGAGTAGGGTGCTGAGGATGCAGGGTTTATGGGGTATTGGGGTGCTGAGGATGCAGGGGTTATGGAGTAGTGGGGTGCTGAGAATGCAGGGGTTATGGGGCACTGAGGATGCAAGGTTTATGGGGGAGTGGGGTGCTGAGGATGCGGGGGTTATGGGGAGTGGGGCACTGAGGATGCGGGGGTTATGGGGAGTGGGGCGCTGAGGATGCAGGAGCTGGAAGTGATGTGGGGTGCTGACTGGGAATCAATTTTCTAAGTGTTCACGTCATGACGATTTGTGCTATCAGCCCGTAACTTCAGTATTTGGACACTTAAACCCTCAGGCGACAGAGACCCTGCTGGAGAGCCAGACCAAAGACCCCAGCCCGAGAGCAAAGAAGTGCGTGCCGACGGGCAGAAGTGGGCGTACCTTGTGGTGAGGGTGGCGGTCACCCCGCTACTGGTCTCTGCTGTGGTTGGGGGGGGTGGGGGCGTGGTCCCGGGGGGTGGCGGGGCGGCGGTGGCCCCCCCAGCAGGCAGGGTGCTGTAGTAGGCGGCCACGTCGACCCCCGGCGGGGGGGGCGCCAGGCAGTAGGTGCCGTCGGGCAGCATGTAGTAGCTGTAGTACACGGCGGCCACGGTCGCTGCGGAAAGACACGTGCAGCGTCACTCCATCGGCGACCACACCCTTTCTAGAGGTTTCTGATTCGAGGAAGGCTGCCCATGGGACAGCTGATCTGGAGGAAGCGGGCAATGTGGGGACACACCGGGGACAATGGACCGCGAAGGGGCAGCAAACACGCCGATGAGAAGTCCGCTCTCAATGAGCGTGCACGGCTGGGCGCTGGCGTCCTTCCCTCGCGTGACATGCGTCTACAAAGCCGTTTGCTGTAACCGCCACCCCCCACCCCCCGGACGCACAGCCGCGTGCCTACCTCATCCCCATGGACGCAGCTCTGCTGTCCACGGACAGCGACTCACGACAGCCTCCTACACAGTCCGGCACACATGCAAGTGCCCGCAGGGCAGCCCACCGTTCCAGTAAATAAAGTCCTATACGCTCATTCATCCTTCTTGTTTTTTTGGAAAAATACTTAAAACCAGCGAGATCGTGTAAGATTCAATGATCCAATTAAGAATTTTATTTCTAATCCTGTTGTGGATATGCAAATGGTTCCGACTGCATTGGGATTTAATTTCCTTCTCGTTGGAGAACGGTGAAAAGATCTTTCCAGTTAAAGAGCTTTATTTTGAGGGCGCCTGGGTGGCTCAGCGGGTGAAGCGTCTGCCTTCGGCTCAGGTCATGATCCCAGGGTCCTGGGATGGAGCCCCGCGTCGGGCTCCCTGCTCGTCGGGAAGCCTGCTTCTCCCCTGCCTGCCGTTTCCCCTGCTTGTGCTCTCTTAGACTCTCCCTCTCAAATTAAAAAAAACTTAAAAAAATTTTTTTTTATTTTGATTTTCAATTAATTCACTTTTAACAAGAACATATATGAAGAGCGGGTGCTTCACCGTAACCCTGGTTCCCAGTGACGTGTGCTATGCAGGGAAACGCAGCAGGACGGCAACTTGCACAGCTAGGCCCCAGCCCTTCCCGAGGCTGGAACGAAGCACAGATGACTGGCTGCAGGCCCACCCACAGCTGCTAACGGCTCACTCTTTGTTCACCGAGAGTGTGAGCTCCCAGCTTGTCCTCTCTTGATGTCACGCACTGACCGCAGTTACACATTCACAACAACACCCTGAGCTTTCATAGACACTGGCCCCAGATCCTGGTGGCATGATCCCTGCCCAGCGTTCTCAATCACATCTCTGCAGGAAGGCGGGGCCCAGCCAAGACCGCCGGCTGGAGGCCGGGGCAAGCAGGGATGGCAGGAAAGGCACGTTCACTCTGTAACCCAGCACGGAGCACACAGTGTTCATCAGACAGACGGAGAGATGCGGCGGTTCCAATGGAAGCTTTTCCTAACCAAGCCAGGCGATTGCACACAAACCTAAGCCTCTGTCAAATCCAACGCCATCCTTGCGAGAATGGAATTATAGTTCCCACCCACTCGCCTTCAGGCGGTCAGGCTACCGGGGTCCCTCTTCTCAGCCCCCAGGCAGAACCACCCCACGGAGAAGGAGACAATGTGGCATCAGCGAGAACAGAGCATAACCCTGACCTGCCTCGGAGAACACCCGTGTGTAGCCCAGGGTCTCCAGGAGAGGGGACAGGACACATTTACTGTCTCGTCCAGAGTGTCACATCTCATTGGAAGGACAGACACCCACTCCTGTCCTGGACAGTCAGCCTGCTGCCTGAAAACAAGTCAAAGTGCATTTTAAATCATAGCCACGACCAGTGAGCCATGTGAACTCATAAAAATAGAAACAGTTGGGGCGCCTGGGTGGCTCAGTTGGTTAAGCGACTGCCTTCGGCTCAGGTCATGATCCTGGAGTCCCCGGATCGAGTCCCGCATCGGGCTCCCTGCTCAGCAGGGAGTCTGCTTCTCCCTCTGACCCTCCCCCCTCTCATGTTCTCTCTCATTCTCTCTCTCTCAAATAAATAAATAAAATCTTAAAAAAAAAAAAAACTTTAATAAAAATAGAAACAGTTCACAAGTTTGGACCAACAGCGTAGGTTGGGCAATCGCAGTGTAACGCAGCCTTCGTGCAACAGAAGTCAATAAACGGTTTTCAGAACTGAGCACCATCCCTTTGAAGTACTTGTACGCAGATTAACCATCAGTCCACAGGACTTTCCTGAACTGTCCATCATGTTAAATCGAAACAGTGTTAAAAACAGCGCTCCTGGCACACTGGCAGATTAACTCGGGAATCCACCCTCAGGACATGTGAAGACACTGGCTAAGATAAAGCAGAAACTCTCAGACCACAGCAGAGCTCACAAAAAGAGGCGGCTCTGTCTTCAGGTGGGAAAATGAGAGCCCGCCCAAACCTGAACGCGCCCTCGGCCTGGGCTGCCCCGGGACCGCAGCAGGGGGTCAAGCTGGGGCAGAGGCGCTGAGCCGGCGTCCCCAAAAGACGTGTGCAGGCGGTCCGCTCTACCCTCTCGCCATACACGTGGTGAGCCTTCCAGCAGAGTCTTCACCACACTTTGCAAACGTGCACTGGAATTTGACAAACTCCATTTATCTAAAAATAATGCTGACAGCCACCCAACATCGCTGTCTAGTGAGGTGTGGGGTGGCTCGCTGGCTGGCAGGCCTCCCACTGTGGGATGCAGGCGTCACGGCAGGTTTAACAAGTCCCCTTTCAGCTGGAGCCTCACTTTGAGGACTGCCAGGGATGAAAAGCCTTCAGGGAGAGGGTCCCCAACTCTGGAGCCCGGGGTATGACAGTGGCGGTGAACGGCAGCCCGACCCCCACGCCTTGCCTGTCGCACCACCTCTGGGTCCCACTCCCAAGAAGAGCGCCTCACTCCCTCACTTCTGACGCCGGCACATCCTGCAGTGTCCTCCGCGTGACGCGCCCCCCCAGCTCCCAAAGTCTGACCGCCGGCACCTCCCCCATCCCAGGCCGACTCGAGGGGGCCCTGCTTGCCCGGGGCACCGCCAGGTCTGAGGGCTCCACGTCCGAAGAGCAGCGGCGGGCAGCCCCCACAGCCCCCAGCGGATGGCAGGCACCTGCCCAGCATTTAATGAGTGAAGCCAGCGACACCAGCCAACAGCAAGGCCCGGGAGCCTTTCCTGACACCTCGTGCTAAGGTACGCGGGCACACGGACTCCCCCTTTTATCTCTGAGGCCGTGAGCCTGACGTCACAGGCCCTTTAAAACGGCCGTCAGAGTGCACACTTCTTTGTATACACCCCCCCGCCCCAACTCAGAGATTCTCACGAACACCGAGTTTTGAGACTCCCTGGACCAGACCGCAGACAGGACATACGGTGTCTGGTGCTCCAAGGCCGAGCTCCCTTGAGCTCACCGTCCCGTTGTCATGACGGGGTGCAGCTCCCAGAGGGCTCCTACCGCTGTCTCTACCACTGGACGTCCGCAACCTAACACACCTCAGTAGCCTCGCTGTCCTCCACATTTTAGGCTGAAGGTCTGAGAGGCGAGTGGGTTTCACAGGACATTGAATGTCGATGGCATTACTAGCATCATGAGCACCACCAATCCTACTCCAGATGAATCCAAGAAAGACGTCTCAACGCCACCTACGTTTCCTAAAGGCAGACGGAGCTGTTACGAAAAGAATCCAGCTCCTTCAGAGCGTAAGGCACATTCGGGAGCACTTCCTTCCCAGACTGCAGCTGCTTAGAGATGGACAGAACCACGTAACACGGGGGCAGATCAACACCCCTGATTTCCTTCCAAAGCCCTTCTACTCAACTGCCTTCCTGCAAAAATCAGAGCCAATTTACTGATATCTTATGTGGTCTTAATCTCATATAAACTTAACTCCCGGAAGAGAATCCTGGTGTCAAAAGGGTTCTGGGAGATGAGGGGGCTGGTGAGCAATCCCTTCTGTGTAAGCAGCAGTTCGGGGAAGACAACATGGCTCTGTATTGAGAATGAAAATGCCTTTACTGAGTGCTGTGGAACCAATCTATTTTTTTTTTTTTAAAGATTTTATTTATTTATTTGAGAGAGAGAGAATGAGAGAGAGCACATGAGAGGGGGGAGGGTCAGAGGGAGAAGCAGACTCCCCGCCGAGCAGGGAGCCCGATGCGGGACTCGATCCCAGGACGCTGGGATCATGACCTGAGCCGAAGGCAGACGCTTAACCGACTGAGCCACCCAGGCGCCCGGAACCAATCTATTTTACCCATACAAGACATCTGGACGATGGAGTACGACCAGTGGAGCGGCTGTAAGCGGCGGCCATGACACAGCCCTTGGGCCTGCACTTCACCGCGCCCACCCCCACACCCCCCGCCGCCCCGCCCTGTCCAAGCCCAGGTGAGCAGCTTGGCCTCCCCTGGACCTGCAGACGGTCCTCCCCATGCACCCCAGGGACCTTCCTAGCAAGTTTAATGGCTTTAAATCCTCTTTGTGCTTGATGATTCCAGAATTCCTACCTTCAGCTCTGAGCTGAACTTGCACATTAACTGCCCACTCCACACCCCCACTGGGATGTCTCATAAACAATTCACTCGGGTTGAGTTCAGATCAGGATCCCTGCCTCCTCCCCACGGCCATGCCGTGCCTGTGGGTGGGTCAGCTGCACTACACGCTTCCTCCCAGACCCCTGCTCTAAAGCTCCAGAAGCACTGCCTGGACCAAACAGAATAGCAACCCCCCTGCCCCCGGAAACCCTCCTATCTCTTCCCACCCAGGGCTCAGGCCACGTTCCCTGCCCTCTGTCCCACCACTCCCCGGTTCCGCTCTCCTCGGGCCTCTGGCTTGGAGGGCCTCCCCAACGATGTCCACCGGCACGGTGACTTCCTCTCGGGCTCTCCGTTCCATGATTTTCCACGACAGAAGGAACCTTGTTCGCTGCTATTCCCAGCACAGTGCGAACACAGTGCCAAATCTGCTCAGTGACTACAAGTTACACGCACGAGGATGAGACGTGCAATGGCGGTAGGCTTCTCTGCAGCAGTAAGGGCCACTAGAAAAGGGTGGCCCAGAACTTCCAACGCCCGAGGGGCAGTATTCAACGCACAATTCTAGGCCTGTCCAAACCACTTACCATATGCGA